GACCACATTTAATTAAGCAAGTAAAATATTGTGACAGTGAAGGTGTGATTGGAGGATATAGGAAATGTGACTATAAGGGGAGATATAACTGTTTGCTCAAAGGATCGGCTTCACTTGTCTCTTTGACGAGTTTTAATATAGTACTACGAATGGTAAAACTTACTGACGATGCCGGCGAAACGTCTGGGAATGTTCCACGTCCACGGTCCGACTTTGGAAATAATTATGCATACAATGGACTCAGGACAAGGTGCGTTTCTATAATACATTATGACCAAGTTGCGAAAGCAAGGTCAAATAACTTCTATACAACGAAAGGAAACTGCGATCACACAAAAGGCCACACCATCTTGGTCTTCATATCTTCGATTAAATTCTGTCTACTTATAAACTATTTTTATGCCGTCCCATATAGTTTTGGCTACTCCATGTCTCAATAAAAATTTTAACATTCTATATGCCTTTTATGATGCTTAAGGAGCGATAGTTCAGTGTCAAAACTTGAAAGGAATAGGCCTAACAATGCCATTAAAGTTCTCATAGGAACTGACTGCAGTAAAAGAAGTCTGGCTAGGGCTTTAGCATCTCATGGACCCAGTAGTTTTGCATGAATATAACATTCATGCAACTACATATCAGAGCAAGCATCAACATTGTAGGACAAAAATCTAGGCTAGTTAAATAAGGAGACTACTATTTGGTCACATCCACCTCTATTTTCACATTGACTCCGCTCATCTGCAAATAAGTAGAGTAACCATAAAATGGCTAACCAAATCATGAAATGTCTCATTGAGATTGCAAAATACGTTTATAAGAATTCGGCAGGATTGCAGCCTGCCACGATTTTTGGCTTAGTATTTGGTGAGCTCTTTTTTAATAAATGGTTTACTGCTTTGCCAATATCTATCACAAGACAGATGGAAGTTCAGCGCAGGTTATTCGACCTAAGAGAATGGTGCGCAAAATATGTCTTCATACAAATCAACTTTTATGCCGGTTATGGTCTATAGCCATTCTTCGTTTGAATTGATGAAAAAGCTGTATTTGCAGTGTGGAAAGAATAATAAAATTCGATGGATTCGCCATATGCTGCCAAGCAATCTACGCATATTTACTGTTTAAATTAAGAGCCTAGAGCTTTCGATATATCCTATGGGTTGACATGCCACGAAGCCTTTCAAGCTAAGATTCCTTCAACACACAAAGGTATTTAAAAATTCTGAATATTCAAGATCTTCGGACAATTTCTTCTAAACATTATTTCGTGAGTCCTACATGAATGATAAAGAGCACAATCGTATTTAGTGAAAATTTATGGAAATAAAAAATAGCTAGTAATAAATTAAATCATGGATTTGGCAGTATGTACGTTAACCCATATATATATATATATATATATAGTTTTATGTATGTACACATAAGTTTAAGAATGTATTTGCATATCCTGAATT